AAAAATGCCACTAGCATTGTGCTGTATCTTAAAAGCAGTGAATAGAGGATACAAGCTAAACAAAGTGCAAATTATTTTTCAGTTAGCATCTTTAACACATCAAAGAAGCATGGGATACAAATCTAGCGCACATACCTGTACTAACGGATAAGTAAACCTGTGCCATTATCTTAAGAAATAGCTTATGTAAAGGCATTAGAAAAATGTCAAAACCTTTTAAGCTATGGAATGTTTTGGAAATGACACTCTGTTCATACTGGGGAGAAGGATCACCTAATCACTAGTGATAGGGCAGATTTATATTTTGCTTTATTGTTGACATTCATGCTGGCACTGTGCAACGTAGACCTTTACATTTGATCTTATCAGCTCCAAGAGCTACACAGTGGTCAGAGTCCTGTATGTTGCCACATAAAGTTGTCCAAGCGTCACCTTGCAAGGTGTTACACAATCTTCTAATTTAATATCATTTTTATCTTTCCAGAATCTAGCTATTAATATTCTAGCACTTGTCATAAGATTAGAAATCAATTCCTTTGAGCAATAATCAAGTTCTATCTAATCAAAAATTGACAGCAAAGCAATTTTAGTTCGAGATCTTTTCCAAATATATCACATATTTCCTTAAAAATCAATTTCCAAAATTTCTGAATCAATTTACACTCCCACCACATGTGATAATATGGGCCAATTTCTTCATCAAATTTCCAACAAGCCTTAGAATAGCCTGAATTTATTATGTTCAATTTCACCAGAGTCATGTGTCACCTTAAAATGATGTTTTAAAAATTGCCCTTTGTTCTTACCGACATTGATCTTAAAACTCTCATCTTCCAAATTTTTGTCCAATCCTCTGTTTTAATCGTGTCACCTTAAAATGATGTTTTAAAAATGACCCTTTGTTCTTACTGACATTAATCTTAAAACTCTCATCTTCCAAATTTTTGTCCAATCCTCTGTTTTAATTTCTGTCTTTAAATCATGTTCCCAAATTGATTTCAAACCTTCTATTTCAGTCTCTTTTTCCTCTTGTTCCAAAATTAGGTTATAAATTCTACTTACTACTTCCTTCATCAAAGCATCTTTCTGCATGTCTTCATGTGATGATAGAAATTGTTCATATTTAGTACATTCTCTACATTTGCCATTAATCTTCAACCATTCATTTGGTTCATAATTGGATATAATTATACCATGATAGTTTATTAGTTTGAAGTTTAACTATAATCTGATCCTTCAGTCTCATTTTAATCATCCAATCCTTCAATCTGGCAACTTTTTACCCTTCAACAAATCAGCTAAACCCTTCATGTCTGCTGGGAAATTTTCTATTTCAGTCACTAATTTTAGTGGTGAAGTAAAAGGACATAACTTATTTTTATATCTGTTCCAGACAGTTAACATGTTTCTTTAAAAAGAGTTGTTCACCTGATTTATTGTGTTTCTTTTTACTACATTAAACAAATATTTTTCAATATTCCCATTTATTTCTGAGGATTCCCCATCCCACCAAATTAACCTTCCTTTGTTATATATAATATCTCCAATAAATCTTAACTGATTCACTATATAATAATTTTTTATAGTAGGATTACCTAAACCTCCACTTTTTTGAGCCTTATCCCAATATCTTTTATTTATTCTTGATTTTTTTTACCTTGATTACAAAATCCATTAATTAATCCCTGCCAATACTTAAAATCTTTTTCTAACTGTATTGGGAGCATCCTGAATAAAAAAATAATTTTGGTAATATTTTCATTTTGATCATAGCGATTCTCCCAAACCACAATAGTGAGACTCACTTCTGAGTAAACAGGCAGATGACTGCACTTCAAATGTCCTCTGAAGAAGCAAAACAAAAATGAAAAAACCCACAACATTGAGCATCTTATCTTTGTTTTCCTTCTATCATCTCTTCTCCCTACTCCTACAGGTCAGAAATTAAGGGAACTATTGCATTTGCCTGCCAATATAACCGGACCACCACATTTACTGTGAATATCGCTATGCTTTCACTTTGACAGTAAATATGGGGACAAAGTATATTAATTTATGTAATGTTTATTTGCTGTTTTGCAGTGTGACATGCGGGAACCCAATGCTCTTCGTGTGGCCCCTGTTCCTCTCTACAATTCCTTCCATGATGTGCACAGATTTATTGAAATCCTGGGATCTGCAATTACATCTGTAAAGCAACGAGCAAAAACTGCAGCACTTTCCTGATCTTATTGATGGTGCAGCTGTATCTTTTAATATATTCCTGACTAAGATGCATCAATGCTTTTAAGCATTTTTGTTTGCTTGTTTCTACTAGACTGAGCTATATTCCACCAATTTGTCCCCAAAGATTGATTTTGCTTGGATAGTTATTTACAATATACTTTTTATTAAAACTCGTATTTCCACTCATTGGGCTTCCAGAAATTAATATGGTTTGTTCCACATATCTCCTTCATCTAGATAATTCTGTTTTACTTCACATAGCAAGTGACACATAAAGGCAGCTGCAGACCTTAAAATATCTTTGTGTACTATCATTGCCGGAATAAGGAAATATATAGAATCTTATATATACTGCTTCTTAAACATTTTAGTTCCAATTAATATTAGAGGGAATTTTGATTTATATTGAATTGAGTGCAAACATTTCCCTTCCCGAAGTTGTAAGTTGAATTTTAGAATTCTCAGACATCCTGTTCAGTTCCAAGTCTCTTCAGTTCTAACAGCTCAGCATCAATTTGTTGAAAGAACTTCATCACTTTGTACTCATCCATTCTACTAATTTCTGTCCACTGATGAGGCATTATTGTTGTATGAGGTTTATACTGGATAAGCTGGTAGTTGTCCAGTATCTGTGAGATGGGGGGGGGAATTCTAGTAACTTTCTATACATGAATTACAGTTTTTTAAAAAGTGCCTGTCAGTGAGGTACTTTCCCCTCACCTCCCCAAATCTGGTTGTTCCACTGGGGATGTTTGGAGGTTTCAGCCCACTAGCCTATCACTATTTGCCATGACCTCCCTGAAATCCCATCCCCTCTGTCAAATTAGGTTGGAGAGACACCTCCTCTTGGCATCTAACTGCTGTTCATCTCCATGGATGTGTTTGGGGTTGGATGTGTCTTTGTGTGTATTAAGTGTGAAAGTGGACATACATATAACAGAGGGAAACTGTTGTTTAAAAAGCCTTTCCTGTTCTAAGAGCAAATCAATTACATCCATTGGATCCACAAGACCCAGGAGAGATTTGAGCTTCCATGGTCATAGAGTGTGAGGGGGTCACTACAGACACCCTAGGAAGCTGTCTGCCCTTGCCTGTCAGCCCCTCAGAAGCCCAGGAAGGTGATAACTCTCAGGCACCAGGAAGACTTGGAGAGCAAAGACAGGAGCCTGCTGAGGAGCTTGGTAGTAAGGCACCTGGGGAAGATGGAGGAGGAAGGAAGGAAGGAGAAGAGGAAGGAGTTGGTATCCTCTGGGTGGCTGAGACTGGTGGTAGACGAGGAGGAAACTTGAGGGAAAACTGTGGGATCTGCTTTTCTGTGTCTCCCAGGAGATGGAGTACTGCTTGGAGAGGAGCCCCCATGGAAGTCCTGGTAGATAAGGGATGCAGTCATGGAAGAGGGCCTGCCATCCTCACCCTGCTAGAGTGACCACTGTTGCCTCCTACTCTCCATCACCCACATAGTCCAGCCAGGCAGAAGTACCCACTTCAATGAAATTATAACACTGGCAGCACACACACCAGCAGGAAAGGCAGCAGAGGCTCCATGAAGAATAAAAGAGCTCACCCAGCGTCCCCTCCTCCGGCTGTACCTACCATCCCTGAAGGGGTAATGACTGGCTCCTGGACTGTTACTTCCAATTACTTTTTCTGCACCAGGGTGAGATTAACTGGATTCCGGACTGAAAAGACACGACTGAGGAGCCTCGTGCAGGGAAGTAAACTCCCCAGAAACCTTAGGAATGGGCCTGTGGGTAAAAGCAGTATCGTTAAACTAAGATTTATTGCAATAAAACCAGTTTCCAGTTACACCAGCAGACTGGAGCCAATAGAGGTATTGCCTGAGGACCCCACAACTGCCAGTACCACAACTGCATTACAATGGGTGCTGTAGGGCCAGCAGTGCACACATAGTATCAATGTCACATCTCTGACATTGCTTGACTCTGTTAAAGTCACTGTGAGTGTAATGAAAGTCTATGAACATGATGCTATTCCTATTCATTACAGCCCTCTATTCCACCCAAAACTCTACTTGAGAGAATTTTTTGGCCCCAGGAAGCAGATTTTGAGGATGAATGGGATGTTTACGAGAGAATTTATTTGGCACAATAATTGTCTCTGAAGTTCATACCTTTCTGTACTACATCTACAGTAGACATAATGTTTTCAGTCCCAAACATTATTCTTACATGCATCATACTTACTGTTCATCACACTGCCTTCTCAGTTTCCTACTCCAGCAGATCAGTCATAAGGAGTTCACTTCACCAGGATGCAGTGGCCTGAGAGAGTTACACCTGTTATCCAGCATATCAGAATGGAGATTAAAAGCAGGAGAGGGTTTGTATTTTGCTGTGCCATGCTGTGTTACAGGGTGGTTTTTTTTTATGTCCCAATGATAAGCATGGAAAGATGAGTGAGTGTGATGATTACTCTAAAGGAATTAGGGAGGTAGAAGCTAATTGCAAACAGCTCTGATAGGTTGCTAATTAGTAATCTCATATCTAATTAGCTGTTGATCCATTCTTTTAGCATATTGGTAAATATTTACAGGAGAGATATAAAAATTGCCTGTGTTTGCCATTATGTATAAAATCAACGGGGAGCCATTCATCTCCTACAACTGTCTGTAAACAGTTGTCTGTTTAATCTATACTAAATTTTTAGATGCAGCATTACTTCTTGTTGTAAATGAGTGCATATCTGAAATCATTATATGTAAACAAGTACATAAAACTTAGGCCAAACAACTTTAGGACACTTGAAAATATCCACATTAATAAAAATTATATTCTGTAAGGCCATTTATGTAAAACATTCCTTAGGAGGCCTGTGTTATTCCTTATTAGCTTAGAGCCTGCGGGTAAATCAAGATATAACAATAAGATTAAAGAGTAACTTTTTAAAAATAAAGCTAGAAAAGCTATTGCGGCTGTGAACGTTCGCTTTAGTCAATACCGTACTGAAGATGTTCCAAAGTCAAGTTCAGAAAACAGATGTGAAAGGCAAGAAGGTGCGAGAATGGCAGACCTGGGTCTTGTAAAACCGGAGACTGGGTGATGCAAAAGGAGAGATACCCTGGACAGAAGTGGGATGTTGCTGGCGTTGGACCCATTTTCCCTATAGAGTTTCACATCAGAGCTAGAGGTCTGTAACCACACCATCCATTAGTTTCAATGGCAGAGGGAAGCATTTTGAATGTGTGTGTGTGTGTGTGGGGGAAATAGGCCTGGAACACCACCCCCTTTGGAAACACGCCCTGCTTTGGAAATAAGAGGAGAATCTGCTATGTTTGCACCTTGGCTGCACCCACTTGGGTATGAGTTGACAAAAACGGACTTTCGGCTACCAAACACACTTCCTATGGCTGGTCTTACTCCCATTTAGGCTAGTCTGAGGGATGTGGCGGAAACATTGACTTTCTGCCTAACACTGTCAGATTTTCAGTACTGCTCAGGCTTGGCAGTGGATTGCTGCTATTCTGTGCTCGGCCACTTGCGGAATTCTGCAATTAGAAATGTATTTCCAAACAGAAGAAAGTTGAAAGAGTACGATTGGCTAGATCTATTGTATTTTTGAAATGATATATTTAAATCATATCTATACCCTAGATCAGTGGTTCCCACTCTTGGGTCTCCAGATGTTTTTGGACCACCACTCCCCAAAATCCTGGACATCACAGCTAGTGGTGAAGGCTTCTGAGAGTTTTAGTTCAAGAACATGGTTAGGAATCACTGGCCTAGATGATACTATTCTAGTATTATCTGTTCTGACTGGCCGTTCTCAGAAGTATAGGGAAAGGTCTTCCTACTTCTCTTCCCTGGCTCATTAACTGGAGGTATCAAGAATGTACCCAGGCCAATGGAAATACATATATGAATGTTTTCCACCACTACACTAATGGTTAAAACACACTTCATGGTTCTTTAAGTGTCACATTCATCTGGAATATTCAGCTATAACAATTTGTGAGAAGATGATGTAAAAGAGTGTCTTCTTACAGTGCATTTCCTTGGTAGTCTGATATCAGCAGTGGATCTTCTTGGTATTTTTCTAGAGACTGTAACACAATGATTTCATTCCTAATATTTTAAGAAAATCCATATTATGGCTAATACTCAAACTTAACATTAGGTGTCAGCATTTTACATATTATCCAGTGATTGCAAATATACCAGAAGAGGTAGAGCACAGAAAATAAGTATTTTAAACTTTAATTTTCAAAGCTGTCAATTCACATATTGGATTCTTTTAAAAGCACCACTTGTGGCAAATAATGCTTCAAAATGCTTAGCTATGTCCACATGAAGCACACTGTAATTTCAATGTTTGAAATAAAGATCTAGATGTCCTGAAAGGTTTCAAAAAATATTATCAGCTAAAATAAAGAAATGAACGATGCCTAAAGAGCGGAAACAATGAAAACAAGAGAAACAAATGCAAAATTTCCTTCAGCTGAAACTAATCATGACTCATTCTAAACTCCAATATATAAACAGAATGGGGCAGTCAACACATTTTGTGGGATGGGCCCATTTATCCTATCTTTATCAAAATCATCAAAGTGCAAAAATGTCTTTGTATACAAATAAGGGTTTTATAGTTTGTTTAAAAAAAATACAGCAAACTGTGTCTTTTTCTTGCTGTTAAATTACTTATGCTAAAATCTTCACAGACTTAACATGGTATATAAATTCAAGTTCCATACAGGTGTATTTGTTTCCTGAGTACTTCAATCCAAGAGCAATTTTTAAAAATATTCCTATCATGTTTCATAGTTGTCTTACATTTCCCTACCCCCTCTATAGATTATCAGCATGGAGAATATTGTAATATTTAAAATATTATTCAAAGGCATAGACATTCTGATCAACCCTTGAAAAATTTAAGTATGTTTGGACCTGCACAGAACAGAAGTCTGTTAAAGGTGTAACCTTTAACTTAATTCTTATTTTGGAGTAATGCAAATGCCCTTAAATTACAGCTGGACTACAAGGATAAACTTTTGTCAATATTTGTGAAATATATTTATAGGACTTTTACAGTTATAAAATGAACATGATAAAGATCAGCAATTCCTATTTGTATGTTCCAATTTTTTTATTACTTAAATGTACTCTTCCATGCACCTCTTTATGTTTCCTGTTAAATGTAAGTGAAAATTGATTAGGGTATTTCTCCATGGA